ATGAACCTACTAATTGCACCTAACTCATGAGGGGGCCTGGTGTCAAATATATTTTTTTATCCTGCCAGAGTCATATCAATAGGTTTTTTCTACCGATATGGGGTGAATCAAACTGTTAGATGAGCTCATAGTGCTGGCAAGTGCACTGTGTGTCATAACTGGACTTGGGCATTCGTTTTCAAGTTGCGATTCATCTGAATTTTAGCAGTTCTTTTGAATTCTGTAACTCTAAAATGCTATAGGGACGAACCATGAAACAAAGTAGGTAGTGGAACTTGGAATTCAGTCTGTGATACCAAAAAAAAGTAATGGGAAAAATAGATGAGTGATGCTTAGGGGACAGCCAGTAATTATTGATTTACTTCACAGATCAAGTGAGAAGTGACTAGTAGAGGGGAAAAAATAGAGGCAGTAAATAAAATCTCTACAGATATACTTTTATATATTTCATATATTCAATAGATTTATCAATATTTATTTTTTACTGTTCCTCCTTTTTTCCTTAAGTGTTTATTTCTTCTCTGTTAATCTGTGAACCTAATGGCAAGAAAATGCACCTGCCAGCTTACTGAAAAATATACAGTGTTTATTTTTTGCAGTACACTAATTGACCCATTTTCATGTCTTTTGATTCAACCAGATTGTTTTTCCCGAATTGATTTCATTCATGAAATTTATCTTAACCCCTTCAGGACTGAGTCAATAGTGCACGTTCTGATCAAAACAAAACGTTAACAAAAACTGGAATTTGCGCTATATGTCTGTTCAACCGTAATTCACCGCTGTCACATTAAGTGCCCTCACACTTATTATATATCATTTTGTTCAGGAGAAAAAGGGCTTTAATTTATCATTAACTATTCATATATGGAACATAATTTATTATGAATAAAATTTTAAAAAATGTGAGAAAATAAGATTTTATTTTAAATTTGTATTTCCGTCTGACATTTTAGCTGTTAATGTCATAATACTGTTAGGTTTTACTGCAAAAAAATGCACATATTTGTAATCAGCGATGTCTCACGAGTACAACAGTACCCCCCATTAACAGGTTTTATGGTGTTTTGGAAAGTTACAGGGTCAAAAATAGAACATTCCATTTTCACATTGAAATTTGCCAGATTAGTAATGTTACCTTTGAGACAGTGTGGTTACCCAGGAATGAGAATTACCTCCATAATGGCATACCATTTGAAAAAGTAGACAACCCAAAGAATTGAAAGTGGGGTATGTCTAGTCTTTTTTAGTAGCCACTTAGTCACAAACACAGGCCAAATTTAGCGTTCATATTTGTTTTTGTGTGAAAAAAGCAAAAAACTAAAATTTGGCAAGTGTTTGTGACTAAGTGGTTACTCAGAAAGACTGGGCATACCCCACTTGCAATACCTTGGGTTGTCTACTTTTGCAAATGGCATGCCATCATGTGGGTAATTCTCATTCCTGGGCTACCATAAGCTCTCAAAAACAACATAACCAATCTGGCAAATTTCAATGTCAAAAAAATGAAATGCAAGCCTTATATGTGACTCTCTAACTTTCCAATTCTACATGTATACTAATGTAATCTTTTATGTAATTATATGTATTTATATATATTTGTGGTTATTTGTATTTTATATATAGATAGATATATATAGAATGTCATTCTAAGTGTATTTTGTTACCAATATATATAACAAAATACAGTTAGAATGAAATTACATATGAATATATAATTTATATAAAATTTTGTTTCAATATTTTATTTATTTATTTTATTATTTTATTTATTATTGTAATTATACATATATATATAATATATGTGTATATATCTATTATATATAAATATATATATATTATATATATGTAACATCATTCTAAGTGTGTTTTAATACTAATATATGCACTTATATTAATATTAAAATACACTTTGTATGACGTTACATATATATAATATGTATATATATTATATATATAATATATATATATACATATATTATATATATATACATACATTTCTATTTTATTTTAAACATGTTTAATTATTTTATTTTTTACTTTCCCACCAGCAAGGGGACTGTCTGACATTTCAGACAGTCCCCCTACTGGCAGATCCACAGCCAGCTCTTTGAGAGCGATTACATGGCCCCCGGGAGGGTTCATTTGCCGGGGGAGGGCTGCCTGGGCTGTCAGGCAGCCCTGCAGAAGAGGATCGTGGCGGAGGTAAGTCCACCGGTTCTCCTGGGGCTCAAAGCCGTTACGGAGTTCTATGCTGCCGCAACGGCTTTAAAGCCCTTTTAATGCGGGATGGCATAGAACGCCGTAACGGCATTAAGGGGTTAACTGAATAGCCACAAATGCAGAATCAATCAACACAAATTGTTTTGTTTTGACAAATCAATTTGACCAAACCAAATTTTACCACTGTGCACCAGTCTAGTCAAAGGCTATAAAAATTAATTTATTTTTTTTTTAAAGTCAGCGGGTGGGGCCTCACCACTGACACGGGCGGTCACTCTAGCTTGTAGCTCAGAGTTTTCAGCGCCATAAACTTCTAATATTTTGAGCCATTGCTCTGCATACTTGGCTGGATAAACCTACTTTGGGGATGACTATCCGTGGAAGCAAGTTCATGGCGCACATGGGCCCTAAACAGCTGCTTTCTCTGGCAGCTGTTTGGATTTATCAGATGAGTTTTCTGGTAATGATGAGGATGATTTCTCACCTGCACCAGCTCCAGTGCTGATGGGCTCCAGTGCTTTGGGTCTAAAAGCACTACTAGCAGAAGAACATTTTGGCAGATGTAACTGTGATCCACCGTGATCTGCAGAGCCTGATAGGCCACATTAGAGCACTGGAGGGAGCTTCCCAAGCAAGCACCCAGCACACTGCCACACTCCAACAGTCTGTACATGACCTGAAGCAGCAGAACTTTGTGCATGAATGCTGCTTTGTGACTCAAGAAGACAACTGGTGGTCAGAGGGGTCTTAGAATAATTCCAGAGGTGAATTGTCACACTTTATGAGGCGCCAGCTGGCATCCTTACCATAATCTTGGCAGGTCAAAGCCATTATCCTTGATGGACTTTTTTGAATCCTTAAACCTGTGAAGGCACCAACTATGGTCTCAAGAGACAAATTGCCTTTCTACTGACATTCTTTGCAGATTTTATTGAGCGGCACTCTGGACTGGCATAGGTCGCTTTGCTCCAACAACAGGACGTCCAATATAGCTGGCATCTATCCCGAACACTTCTTGTCCAGCTTGTGTAATGACATGCACACTATCCAAGACCTATAGATCTCAGCTGCACAAATGCAAGATTTAGGCTTACCCTAGGACTCACTTACCCACATGGGGACTCACACTGCATCTCACTCATCCCACACCTTGGAATTGGAAAGAATCACCCCATTTATCTCACAAAGGTCTACACCAGACTCAAAATCTGCCTTTACCACTTGAGCGGAGACTCACACAGCCCTAATAGCATGGTTTATTATTTCTCGTTGAATTGTTTAACTTATTCAGTTGTGTACCCTCTAAATTACCAACTTTAAAGTTTTATGTTAATGTAGTTGACTCCGTGAAGACCGCTTAGTCTAAATGTCCACCCCCACCCTAAATCAGTATTTGCCAACAGTAGGCCTAAGGTCTGAGTATCGGGGTGTTAATCAAATACTAAATTGTAGCCATTATGGGGCATAAATCCCTCCTATGATTTCTGTTTTAATTTATCTTTCTCACTGCTGATGCTTGTTTTCGATGATACCTCTAAGCTCCTTCCACTTACTAGATCCCATGCTGTTTCAACCTATACATGGCCACGTAGCGTAGAGGTAGGAATACTCATTATGAAGCACTATTTTCGAAGATGTAATTTGCCTGAATATTGGTCAAATTCCTAATATAAAAAAGTTGATCTAAGGTATTATGTATATTATATATTTCTGGTTTTGTTGACACTTATAGCATCACCTGCTTTTGCATTAATGCAAAAAATTAAAAATTAAAAAAAAAAATGTTTTTTTTAAATGTGAGCTGTTGAACCATGGTGGTGGGATAAGTAAACCCCAACTGTGTAAATCAGCTGAAAGGAACATTCATTTCTCAAAATAAGAAATTATAACCTTTATATATACCAATCATTTGCAGAAATATTGAGATAATATTTAAATGTATCTTCAAAATATTAAATCAAAATAAAGTATAACTCCATTAAATACTAAATGACATTTACAAGATAAGCTTGGAGTTCCAGATTAATTAATGAAACTGATTCCAAGTGGCACTTATAGTGCCCATATCAACTAATCTCAGGTGATCAAGGATTTTCCCTTCCTATCACCCACCATACTGTAAAATATGTGGACATGAGAACTATCTACCAGAAAAAGCAAGCACTCTTCTTATAACAAACAAACAAAAAACTTAAAGGGACACTATAGTCACCTAAACAACTTTAGCTTAATGAATCAGTTTTAGTGTATAGATCATGCCTCTCAGGTTTTGCAATTCTCTGCCATTTAGGAGTTAAATCACTTTGATTCTGTTTATGCAGCCCTTGCCACACCTCCCCTGGCTATGATTGACACAGCCTGCATGAAAAACTGGTTTCACTTTCAATCATAGCAGGGGATACGAAAATCTAAATTAAACAGAATTTACAAGAAAGGATAAACTTTAGATGACTCTTTTTTACTAAGTGTTTAGGAAGGCTGTGCAAGTCACATGCAGGGAGGTGTGACTAGGGTTCATAAACAAAGTGATTTAACTCCTAAATGGCAGAGCATTAAGCAGTGAGGCTGGAGGGGCATGTTCTATACAACAAAACTGCTTTATTAAGCTAAAGATGTTTTGGTGACTATAATGTCCCTTTAACTTTTATTAAAGCTGAAATAAAGACCCTCCCTGGACTGACAAGGAAGGGGGGACATGACTGATTCCAGGCTAAGGGGTCAAGACTGATGCTAAGCTGAGGGGTGGGGAATATAGTGATACAAAGTTGCAAAATGGACTGCAGGTTATAAGGACAGTGAGGGGGGGGACTTACCAGTCAGCGTTTAGAAAGTGCAGGGATCCTGACTTTCCCTCCCTCCCTCCCTAGGAATTTTCTCGTACATATGGAATTGTTGGTCTTTTTCTGGTGCTTGTTGTTGGTTTCTGTTTTCTTGTTTTGTCACAGCATGCGAGAGTCCTGGCCAGCGCAGGCAGAAGTGGAAGAAGTTGCTGAGGAGGCTTGGGGAGTCGCAGCCTGCTGGGAGCTGATGGCGGAGACAGGCTGCTCTGGACTCATTGTTTGATGGGATATACCTGTCTGTTGGTGAATCACCCCAACAGCTGACAGTATGGACTTGCTGGCATGTATAATCAATAAAGCTGTGGCCGTTGCCCTTACCCAACTTAACAAGGTCTCTTGTGTGTTATTGGGGGCAACGGGTTGGGGGACATTCCACCTAGTCAGCAGTCAAGTTGACTTCACATGAGGGCAGGTGAGTGATGAAGTGTCAGCAGATAATATCCAGAGAGCATAGCCTCCTTTATGCCAGGATTATTGATTGCATATGCACCTATTCAAGGAAGCATGTTAAGCTCTGGATGCCATTAGTTAACATGTCATTACCATGTGTACTTTGATGATGTGAATTTTTATGGGGCTCTAACAAAAGTAATAATGAGTGTTGTAACGGCACCCTGGGCATAAAAGGGGTTAACAGCCGTTTAGTAGATCTTCCCCTTCCAGATACACAGGTAGCTACTGTAGACACCAATCCACCGAACCGGAGAAGCATATGAATGGTGTAAACAGCTGAACCGGAACCATACGAATGCTGTAAACAGCCAAATAGGAAAAACCATACGAACCAGAATCAGCATACTCCAAATACAAACATATGTCAAAATCATGCAAATTGGTCCAGTGGTTCAAAAGATAGATCGTAGTCCTTTGTGACCAAAGGAAGCATGGCTTTTCTGCCCAAAACCAGTTCCACAGAGTCTTCTATCCTGGAGATAATTGGGAAGTAATCCAATTATCTCCAAAGACAGAGGCAAAACTCAATTGAACACATGTCTGCAAAAGACAATAAAACACATAAAAACATATAACTGTGCAGCCATTGCACAAAACAGGTACATTCAATATATCCCCAGATAGCTCAGATCAGAGTGCACATTATTACTGAATGGCGCTCAGAGCACACACATACAGTTCAATTGCCATGGAGCCAAAGTCTTTCCCATAGTCTTTCATTATACGAATGGGCTCCATGGCATAGCTATCTGGGGTATCACCGCTCAAACAGGGCAAGCACCAAATGACCCGCTTTTCATGTCTTTGCAGGGGAAAATCAGGCCTTTTAACATGGGGCCATAATCCAAAGGCAACAGGCGAGCAACCAGGCTTCTCCAATGCAATGTGGCGAGATTGGTCTCGTCACATCTCTCCCCTTTTCCAAACAGACTAACAGGGTATCTGACCTCCTGCCAGTCAGTGCCCTTGTTAGTCCAGCAGCCCACCCACAATAAATGGTTACTACACCTAGGTAGAGGAGAACTTTGTCCATGTCCAGGTGCCTCACCACGGCTGTGTGGGTGACTAGTAAGCTGACTTGGTGGGTTGCTGAGTGGGCAGAGAACAGCGGTACTCTGCCCTGGTGCCAGTGCTACCACGGGAGTAGCCTGGTTGAAGCCTGGTTGTTGGAGGGGGAGATCGACTGTCTCCCCTTTGGTTACACCGCTCGGTTGCTGGAGGGGGAGACCAACTTTCTCCCCTTTGGCTAAACAGCCCTGTCGCTGGGGAGCAGAACCGACCGTCCCTACCCCCTGTGCTGTAAGTGCAGAGACCACGGTCCCATCTGCACGGTTGTGGGGTTTACTGTCCCCCCCTGGTACGTTAAGTCGCTGCTGGGGAGAGGGGGTAACAAGCTCCTCTCCCACATATACTTCCAGCTGCGAGGGAGGGAGACTGACTGTCTCTGCTCCCAATACAGAGTCCTGCTGCTGTGGAAAGGAGACTGGGCTCTCTATTCCCAGTAGGACACTCTGCCGCTGGGGAATGGAGTCTGGGCTCCCAATTCCCTGCTGAATCTCCCACTGGGGAATGGAGTCTGGGCTCCCAATTCCCAATGACTCATACTGCCGCTGGGGAATGGAGACTAGGCTGCCAATTCCCTGTAATTCACACTGCCGCTGGGGATCTGACCCGACTGCCCAGCATCCCTGTAGCTCACCCTTCCACTGGGGAGGGAGGACGCTGCTCTCCTCTCCCTGCAAGGTACACTGCCGCTGGGGGACAGGACCAACTATCTCTGTCCCCTGTAACTCAGCCTGCTGCTGGGGAATGGACCTTGGGCTCCCAATTCCCTGCAATTTACTCTGCTGCTGGGGGACAGAAGCAACTATCTCTGTCCCCTGTAACTCAGCCTGCCGCTGGGGAATGGCTGGGGAATGGCTCCCAATTCCCTGCAATATCTCCCGCTGGGGAATGGAGACTGGGCTCCCAATTCCCTGCAGGACCGGTGGAGAGACCTCGGCCCCATCTCCACCAGCTACCTGGGGTTCTTCCCAGTAACATTCTGCAATATCTGCCCAGCTGAATGGGTCTAGATCTGGGTCTCTGCCTCCCTGCTGAGCCTTCTCACTGGAGTGGAACAGATCTTGGTAGCCCTGCTCCAGCTCCATCTCTCGGGTCACTAGGTGGACCAGGTCTTGCTCAATCTCATGAGTGTCGTCCCAGTCATACCTGCTCTCCCTCCACTCCAAGAGATCACTGAACCGAGTTTGTGTAGAGCTCCCAAACTCAGGCTCTGAAAAAGCCTCCCATAACAAACCAGGACCATCAAACTCCTCTCCCTCTGGCTTGTCATGCTCGGCTGTCCAGGGCAGGTACTGTGCCCCATACCACCAGAGCGCCTGGTAGGCATCTTCCAGCCAAATCTCCTGCCATACCCTGAGCTCCAATTCCTTCACCCATTCCTCCAGGGGCTGCTCTCCCATCAAGGGCATCCGCAGGGCTAGTCACTTCTGCAATCACTGGTCTTCCTTGGGGAGTCTCTCGCCCCGCTGGTACTCCACAATGCCCAGTGCCTGGTACCAGATGCCTTTGCAAACTGCATCTCGGTCATCCATGACACCCTCATCGTACTCCACTGATGGTTCCATCCTGATGCTGTCAGGGTCACTGTACTCAGACATGCGTTGCCCTCAATTTGTAAAATCCAAAGAAATGGTGTCTCCTGTAGCTGTCCTTCTGGCTGTAGGAACGATCCCGCCGATTGCCACCAATTGTAACGGCACCCTCAGCATAAAAGGGTAAAACCGCCGTTTAGAAGATCTTCCCCTTCCAGATACACAGGCAGCTACTGTAGACACCAATCCACCGAACCGGAGAAGCATATGAATGCTGTAAACAGCCAAACCGGAACCATACGAATGCTGTAAACAGCCGAATAGGAAAAACCATACGAATAGGATTACACTCCTAGCAGTCAAACTGGAACAGCATACAGTAAATCCCCCCAAGAATGAGACAAAGCTCTGTGTTGAGGATCAAGCAGTGAACAGTCAGAGCTGTGGGTTTATTGTGCTTATGTACACATTCTTACACATTAGTACCACCCACAGGGTTTTGGAACACAACCAATAAACACATACAATACACTCAGACACTCCCACACAAAATCCTCCCCTCTGCCTGTGATACAATTACCTTAAACAATGGGTAATGTAATTATAAAAAGCAGAGAAATACAATTTTTCCACATTATTCATAACTTGAAAAGTATGCATCACATTCACATAAAATCAAATTTTCAGAATCAGCATACTCCAAATACAAACATATGTCAAAATCATCCAAATTGGTCCAGTGGTTCAAAATATAGATCGTAGTCCTTTGTGACCAAAGGAAGCATGGCTTTTCTGCCCAAAACAAGTTCCACAGAGTCTTCTATCCTGGAGATATTTGGGAAGTAATCCAATTATCTCCAAAAACAGAGGCAAAACTCCATTGAACACTGTGACGGACCGCTGGCACTCCTACTGAGTACCTCCGCCAATCGATGCTCCTAGTGCTCGCTGAGGACTCCAACCGACACCATCAGCACTGCAGACCCCACTTCCAGCGATGCAACTGCGCCGGGGTCTCTGCTGTTTCCACCCACCCTGGACCCAAGGCCAGGATCCAGCTTCCAGTGGGTGAACCTCTCTTTCCCCAGAGAGCAGGAACAGGAACAAATCAAGCTATTGCAAGAGCTTCCTCTGGGGAGTAAGTGATTATAGCAATCCCCAGAGTGTAGGTATCCCTTCCCCCAAACATGAGCCAAGGCTTAATGCTGGAACAAGACTGATTTACTGGCACACAGAACTCACAATTTATGCAACACAAAACTCCTCCTCTGGGCCAGGCTAGATAATTGAGTTTCTACAATACACAAAGCTCAATTATCTGCTGGCCAGAAGTAATACAGTTTCATAAAACACACAAGGATCCCAAAACATGCAATAACCCCATAAAAAGTATATCCTTGGAACCGGGGGATCTGGGTGAACCACATATCCAAAATTCACCCAGATCCGTTCAGTACTTTGGAAAATACAATTTAATGCAGATTCTGCAGAACATATACAGGCTAAATGAAAAACAATCACTGTATAATGTGTCCCCTGCTGTATAGTCCAAAACCACTGCACGATGTCTCTGTGCACCAAATACTGGCGAGATGGCACCGTGTTGAAAAGTCCAAACAGTGTCTGTGAGTTAAAATGGCCGCCATCCATTGTTCTCACCATGTGCTTCTGATACAGGAAATGGTGGCCACCCAGTAACTCCACAGTATGTCCCCAGATGGTTCTTAAAGGGCCAGCAGCAGCACAACACAAATCCATTATGCCCAAATCATGTCTTTAAAGTGCAATACATCCCATGGGCCATAGTCACAGGGCAAGAGGCGGGCAAGCAGTCCTCTCCAGGCACAAGTGGCGAAGGGCACTTCATCACACACATGTCAGCAAAAGACAATAAAACACATAAAAACATATAAATGTGCAGCCATTGGACAAAACAGGTATATTCAATATATCCCCAGATAGCTCAGATCTGAGTGCACATTATTACTGAATGGCGCTCAGAGCACACACATACAGTTCAATTGCCATGGAGCCAAAGTCTTTCCCATAGTCTTTCATTATACGAATGGGCTCCATGGCATAGCTATCTG